AATTCCTTGAGAATGAGAAGAATGGTGAAAATGAATCAAGAAAAGTAAAAAGTCTTTCATGTTCACATTTACTGTAAATTGTAACACTTATTAATCCAATTAATGTTCAACATTAGAAGCAATTTTTGCCATTAATTTACTTTTAGGCCAATAATTATTGACCTACGAAACATTCATTTGATTAACATTTTTTTCACTTTTCATTAACTTTTACATCTTGATTGGTCATCAAAGATGACAAATGGTTTACTCATTACTTGCATCCATCATGTTATTGTTACTGTGTTTTGCATTGTTTTTCAGCCTTTTGTTTCCACTGATGAACATTTTTGCTGAATCCAAATTGTTATTGAACATTTATCATGAAAGATCACCTCGCAACTTGATCTGACAAAAGATGAAACTCTTCTATTATCATGATAATCATCATGTTTTTTTCCTCTCCTCACTCTCTCAATGGACCAATCAAGCCAATAAACTGATTGGTTTGATGGTTCAATTGATCATCACCAATCTTTACACTTTCCCTTTGATCGACTCATCGCCCATCATCATCACTTTCAGATTATCTGAGTTCATCTTTCATGTCGACTCAGTTCTTTCCATCAGCATCATCTAATTGTTTAATTGCATTTGAAAGAAAGAAGAAGAAAAAAGCGGAAAAAATTAAACACTTTAAATCCATTCCATCAACAAATTTAATAACAAACTTGCTTCTTTTCCTAATCAATTGATGGTCTCTCATTAACTCAAAAGGCTGATTCAATTGTTTCTCAACTGTTTCTGTTGACCAATAAAAATCTGTTGACTTTACAACAATCAACTCAATTATCTGAGAATGAAAATAAATTGTTTCAAATCTGGCCAAAGACAATTTACAACATTTTCATTTGAAAAGTTGCATCAATCATGATTATCAACTGAAACATTTGGAAACTTGAAAATCATCTTTTCATCATTTTTTCCTGCCAAAGAGTCAAATCTTTACAAAACCAAAATGCTAAACATTTGTTGTTACTTCAACATGAATTAACCGAAAATGAGCCACGTGGACTGATGAATGCTTTAAAATGAATGTTAGTCTTTTTTTAGTGAAAAAAGTCCAATTCTCACGTACTGATGATCCTTTCAAGCAAAACTAATCAGTTGTGAATCTGTTTACTCACCTAAACATATTATCATATTAATCATTCCCAGGCGAGTTGAGAAGCTATTGCAAAGTGGGTTAAAAAGGTTTTCTGTGATTTCATGTCTTCTCTTGAAATTTAATCAAATTAGCGTTATTAATGATTTAAATTTGGACCAAAATTTTGGAGCAGAAAAAATTGAAAAATGCAAGAAAAAAAATAAAAAATGTTAACCTTTTTTTTCGTGCAACTTGCCTATTAACTAAACTCAAGCTGATAATAACACAAATATATATTTATATTCAACGAACAGTTTTATGCCATTTAATATACACAATTGGTTTTGAAGAGGAAGAATATGTTGCTATAGCAATCAATGTGTAATTTGTATCCAAGGCGATCATGATGATCATGATGAACTGTTTTCTGGTTTGTTGTTGATGAATGATCACTGCAAGAAACTGGATAAGAACGAAGACATTTCTTGTCTCTTTGGTAACGTCAACTTTAAAATATAATAACAATGTTAATGATGGAAACTTTGACCAAATAAACTCATCAATCGACTCTAAATTCAGCTTCTTTTCTCATTCATTCACCTCTGAGCTTTTCCTCATCAGAAATCTTTTTTCATTGAAACATTTATAACTTTTATTCAATAGTAATGTTTGAGCAAAGTTTTACAAAAGATTTTTGATGAAAATTTGATTCTATTCTTTATTCGTATCTTGCAAGCAAACAATGAGTTAATTATGTTGGTTCAATGTTTTCAATTATTACAAGTTTCCATGAAAATGGATCAACAATTATTTCGACGAAAAATGTGATTTTGATTTTGCTTGAAAATGATTTTTGGTTGAGTTTAGCCATTTTGGTGAAGCTCATGTTGTTTTTAATGATGATTATAAAGGAAACTAAAGATCCCTTGAGATGTTTCATGATGATTCAATGATCCTTCATCTTTTTTTTCAACAACTTTTTTCTTCTTCTCTTTTCACCTTTTTCATGGTGAACAAAAGGTTGGGTGAAAAAAAAGATGCTGATGGATGAAACGTTTGAAGATGGTTAAGGTAAAGTCAAGTCTGGTTTCTATTGAAAAACAACACTTAATGTTGATGACAACAGTTGCCAGTCAAATGACAATTAACAGTTGAAGAGATGATGAAAAGATGAAGCCTTTGCAAAATTATTCAAAGAGTTAACACTTTTCATCTTGTTTATTGCACTAAACCATTGAACAACCAAATCCAATATAAAATTACCTTGAAAAGTAATCAGTTTGAAAAGTTTCATTAATCCGTTGAAACTTTATCAACGACTTTGCAGTTGATTTGCTTTCTTATTGTTGTTTTGTATTGTTGGTAATTAATTGAGGTTATTGTTTACGATAATCACCAATCCATCATCATTTGAGTTTGCCAGTAAATTTTTCTTTTGGTTGCAATCATTTCTGATAATTAACTTTTCTCTCTTCGTTTTCAAGCGATTCACAGATATTCCATGTATCATGTAATATATATTTTCGGTGATTATCATTATGATGATCATCTTGTTAACCAATTGTCAATGTAAGAAGCAAACAAAAGGAAAAGATGATGATGATTACTAGCATGATGAGTGGAACAAGAAATGAAAAGGAAAAGTAATGGCAATGATTGACATTGACATGATTTGTTATCCATTTGTAACAACATTATTATCAATATTATACGAATCATCAATTGTTTCATTTCTAATTAACTAACTTGCTAATTTGGTCATCGTAATTGATATACAATCATTGTTAACCCTTCATCCCAAAATTGAATCTTTTACACTCAAAGAGACCAAAATTGATCTCTCAAATTAACTGCAAGTTAACCTGACAAGTTGAGGTTGTATCAAGTTGTTACTCTTCAAGTTTACAAATAACTCGATACTAAACAAGTAACAGCTTCTCATGTTACACTTTCATCCAATTTCAATTGTATCCATTTGTCGGTTAAACTGCATTTTGACCTGAAACAGTTTTCATCGAAACTCAACTGAAAAAAGGCTTTTCTCAAGATTTCTGTTGCTCTTGATGTTTGATGGTTTAGTGAAGGTTAAGATGGTGACATAAATGTATTGAGATTGGGTTTGGGTTTGAGTCTCTTTGTGCTTCTTTGGCCATCCTTGTTATCAGACAGGTTATTGAGCTTAGCAGCCCATGAAATTGTCTTTAACCTCCCATGAGATGCACCTAGGCCCAACAGTTATAAAGATTGAGAAAAGGGAATGGAAGTTCAGTTGAGAAGGAGAAGGAAAAAAGTTGATGTAAAAGTAACTTGTATAACGGGAAGAGCAATAACAATAATAGTAAAAAGTATGAGACAAACAACAGTAAATATCAAGTGAATATTCAGATTACTTGCGCACTTTTAAACCATTATTATTGTTACTCTCTTTATTAGTATTATTTTCATCATTATCATTATTTGGTAGGATAGGTTTGACCAACCAGGCCAAAGATCAATCAGTGTTTATATTTATCAGAATCATTACCTTTGTGACCTTTATTTTCCTTTTCCTAACAGATAATATTATTACTTATTTTCCTAACAGTAAATTGCAAGTTAAAGGCTAACAAGGAAAGAAACACAGTTGATGAGGATAATGAAGATGATAATGGATGATGAGCAAAAAGAGAAACTTTTCTTTTGATAAACACAGATAATCAGTTTCAAGTTTCATTCATGAATCACACTGGAAACTCTGACACCTCACAAAATCTCCAACAGTCATTACAGTCTTTGGTTTAAAGTTGAATTTTCAATAGCAAACTTGACCAGCTTTTGTCCAAGTGACTTTGATTAAAGCAAATTATTGATAAATAATGAAATTAAACAGCAAATGTTTTGCCATTTTCCGTTCACTTTTCCTCATCTACTCAACATCATTACTTTACTAGTCCTTCATCATTCCTGTTGATATTTCATATCCAGTGAAGCAACTAAGCAAGACACAAAAAAAGGAAGCAAAGTTTAAACCTTTGTCACTTTTACTGATCCTTTTGGTCACCTCGATTAATCTGTAATTAAGGGAAGCCTGAAAATGGTTCAATCTGTTTTTATGTTGTTAACTTAATAGCAATTAACTTTCATCTGAAATAAACTTTTCAAAGTGAACAGCTTTTCTTCCAGGGACAACAAACCTTTCCAAACAATGAATGTAAACCTTGAAAACTAATAATATTAAGCTTAACAGTGATAATATTAACATATAAGATGGACAGGGAAAGTGGCTAAAGTTGGCAATTTGGGTCAAAGTTTGATATAAAAGTTAAACTTACTGATCAAGTTATGAAGAAGAGGGAAAAAAAGAGATGAATAAGAAGATGTGAGTGGAAGAAAAGGGAAAAATTGTGAGGAGAAAAAAAAGGTTGATGGAAGATGAAAGCGGACCAAAAGTGATTTACAAAACTGTTCACTGGCAGCTTATTGAAGCAATTTATTGTTGAAACTCATTTATCATTTGTAAGTTAATCACAGGCAATTCAGTGATGAACGAGTCAAACAGCAGTTTTTTTTTCTTGCTATTTGCAATTTATAATTGAGATTAAAAGTCCAAAGAGAAATGTGAAAAGTTTAATTGTTTTCCGAATGGCAACAACGGCAAGTTTAAACTCATTTATCAAAACTCACTCTTACCTCCAATTAATCATGATAATTTAAACATTATTTGATCTGGTAATTGATTGTTCAATTGTTTACTTGTACCTTTCAGCCTGCCATATTCGTGTATTGTTATTAACTTATTGTACTAAATGATTAACTTTGCGTTTTTCAATCTTTTTTTTCTTCTTCTTTTGCTGCCTTTTCCTCTTCATCCTTTTTTCACTTTTCATTTTTACAGGTAAGGATTTGATTGCCTCTCTTAATGTACCCGATATAAATTGGGACCAATGTAAGTCGTTTTTGATATTTACCTTTTGCTATTTCTTGAACATTACCTGGTTATTGATATTCATAAATGTATATTCAATACGTGCTCACAATCATTATAATCATTATTATTCAGTAATCATTTTTATCTTCTGTTTTTTGTTTTCCATCTCAAATGGTATATTTAATATTTTTTAGGACTTAATTATCGTTGAGTAAATACGTAAATGATGATTAACAGAAGTAAGATCATTGATCTTAATGGATATGATTTTTTGGGAAATACAATTTTCTCCATTCTTTTTTTGCTTCTCTGATTAGTAATTAATTTTGTCAACTTTGGCCAAGATTCAGGGATTGTCAGAATAGGTTCAAATTAATGGGATAATTTATGATTTGCACGTTATTTTGTGGTTTTGCATTTTGTGGGTGAATTTGTTGACTTGGGCAAATTTATTCCTTTTAAATCAAATTTCGATCATCAATTTGATTAAACAATATGTTGACTGAATTGAAATAATTATTGATTTTGTTGTTTACCATTTGTATTCAAGAATTGTAAGAAGTTGGATTTCTCAAATTTTTCACCTTTTCTCATGGAAAGAAAAGTGAAAATGAATAGAAATTTAGCGTCAAAATTGGCTGACATTGAGCAACATTTGGTGGGATAAGAGTGACTCTGTTAGGTTGACCAGTTGGCTTCATCATGCCTTATTTAACCCGCTTAATCGGGTCAAAATTTATGATCAATTTCTGACTTTTTTTACACGTAAAACTGTCTTCTGTTTGTTACACTTGATGGGCTGAGAGTGACTCTGTTAGGTTGAAGGTTGATGTCTTGTGACCCAAGATTTGATGAGAAATGTGATGATAAATCAGGGACAGAAAATGGAAAAATTAATAAAGTAAATGATGAAGGATGAGGATAATTCGGTAACAGCAGCAGAATGGTGATGATAAAAGGAGAAAAGGATGAGAATGTTGAGAGAAGACCAAAAAAACTGGATGAATGATGAGGAGGAAAATGATGGTGAAAGAGCAAAAAATGTATTAATTTCATTTGATAAAGTTAGTTGGCCATTGGTAAAGATGGTTTCAAAATAAAAAGGGAAAAATTAATTTGACAATTTTCATGATATTAAAAGAGTTTCACTTTATATTTGAAAATGCATTTATCCTTATATTTGAACTTCTTTTTTTAGCTTCATCTTTGATTCCTTTTTAAGACAAATGAGCAGATTCTCATCAGAATGAAGATTGTTTTTTTCTCTCTTTCTCTTTCTCTTCATCTTCACTGTGATTTTCAATTTTTCAATCCTTTACCATCTTAATTTGTGCTCTTCCTTGTCTGTAAATGTCTGTCTAAGTAAGCATAGCAATAGGATGATAATGATAATGATGATGATGCCAAATGAAAGTGTTCATCTCTCCATGGAAGTCTTAATGGTTTGGAATGAATTGCTTTGCTTGACTGTGTAATCACTGTTACTCTTATTTAGTCTTGATGATTGAAGATGATGATGATAAGAATATCGGTTGAAGAAAAAAAAAAGTTAAATAAATGGTGACAATGATGATCAACACAGTAAAAGTTGAACATTTTTTGGACGCATTTCATTTCCATCTTTAATTTGATCGGAAAACAAAAAAACAGAGTTGATATTGAGTTGATAATGATGAGCAAAAAAGCAATTCAAACATTGACTCGATTCAATATTAAATTCAATTAAACAGCACGAACTTGACGGATCCAAAAAATGATCTTTTTTGTCATTTCGATATAAATAGCATTTTAATGTTCATTAAAGGTGGAAATGAAAAATTACTTTACTTTTCATTGACTTTTCACTCAATTTAACATTCAATATTGACTGTTATCCCTGTTTGGTTGAATGTTTAAAAGTGAAAATTGAATCAACAATTAACATCTCTTCAGATAAAACAATTTGTCGAAACAATTGTCGAATGAATTGAATCAAATTTCCTTTTCTTGTTACACATTCCTGCAAAGGGAATCCTGTTGATGTACTCATATTTGATAATTGATAAACATGAGTCTAAACCATTGGTTAGCAATTTGATTGTTTGGTAATCAAATCGCTTAATCCATTATCATTTAGCAATGTCCAGTAAATGTGTGACTGTTGGTCAAGGAGATGAACGAGATTCATCCCTTCACTCCTCATCACTTGTGATCCGGGTTTTTTGTCTTCTCAGTGTTGGTGTGCCTCTGCCTTCACCCTCTCTTGTTACTAGTTATAGGCCTTGATTCCCTGATTATTATTATAGGCAATAATGGACCCAAAAGGTTGTTACAATTCACTAATAGATTCCCTTTTCTCATTCCCTTCATCCTCATCTTCATCCTTCTCTCACCTCTGTTCAACTCAAGACCCGTTAAAAACAATTGCAGTCTAAAGAGACACAAAAAACACTGAAACAATCTGTTTAATCTTAAAACAGATAAATGTTCACTTTCCAATATCCTAATATTCAATTGTCAAGTTTCACTCCCAGCATTCAATCCCAGTTGCTCACTCCCTGATCATTGTAAAGTATTAAGAGAATAACTTTTTTTTCTCTCTCGTTCTCTTTCACATCCATCAAATTGATATTAATTGCGATTGAGGGTGAAAAGGATGTTCAACGGTTGATTCAAATTCATGATGAAAATGATGTTAATGTCGTTGATTTGATACGGAAGTTGAAACAAATATCTTTCTTGAAGCTGTTCAACATCCTTCTTCAGTTGCATTTTGTAATAACTTTGCCTTCCATTTGTTTCCATGTCAGTGAATTAACAAGATACTTGCATGATTATGATTATCCTGATTATGTTGATATCATGATATTATTAGAATGAGGATGCTGACAGAAAAAAAAAGTTTCTAAAAAATTGCCTTTTTAATATAATTTCATTTCTTTTTCTTTCTCTTACCCATTGAATGGTGAATTGTAAAAATTATGATGAATTTTGTCAAGTATGACATTTTATCTGGCTCAGGGATTCTCAATCAGTCAACATGGATAAAGAGTTATAACCATGATTGTCATTATCATTATGATTATTGTTGTTTTTATGACTATTGTTATCATGATGACGATGATACTAATGATGATGATAATGATTGAAAGTGAAGGGAGTAGAGAGGAAAGAGGAAGGAAAAGAGGAAAAGGGTGAAATGTGATGATTGATTCATTGATTACGCTTGAGCACCTATCGATTGATTATTATTATTATCGATGAATTATTCTTACATGAGCATCATCATCTTCAATTGCATTATTATCATTGTTTTCCGATTAATAACAGTGAATATTGTTCAAAAGTCTTAAAGCCTCTTTTATGGGTTAACTGACAATATTCAACTGTTCAACGAATAATCATTTTCAGATTATTTTTCATTTATTAATACAATCTGAAACTAAACATATTTGACCATTTCCATATTCAAAGAGGACGATTAATAGATCAATAACATCTTTATTATGACCTCAGATTTGTCAAAATTCAGACTCCAAGAATGAGAAATTTTCAAATTCGCGTTTAGTTGTGAAGGAATAGACTGGGATGGCAATATTTATAAAGTTTGCTGAACGTGATATTTTGATAGCTTTGTCAATACAGGTTTTGTTGTCCAAATATCGATATCGACCTCCACAGTAAATTTAAAGAAATCTTGGAGAACCAAGTTCTAAGTTTGGATTATAACCCGAACAGAAAAACTTTTTAAGAACTTCAGTTTTTAGGCCTTAAATAGCTATAAAAGTGAGTTCTTGGGAAAACTCGATTTCTGGGACGGACGTGATTCGACAAACACACAAAGTCTCGACTTTTAACTGGAAAGAAAGTTTTTGCGTAAACTCTTTTGAAAAGCTTTTCTCATCCAGGATCTTTCAATTTGAACAAAAGCTAAAGATTTTATTTTGTGACGTTGTACTTGACGATGGTTTTTTCATCAGAATTCAGGTCTTTTCGTCTGATCGTGTCCAACTCAGTAGAGAGTTCGGTCATGATCGAGGATTCCGTTTATTGATTTAATTTTTGGCTTTAAATTGTTTCATCCTTTGATGCTACTGTGAGCCTCCCATAATTGCATATTTGACGGTAACTTATTAATATTACAAAAGTTTGCAACATAAAATGGATTTTTGAAGATTGTATTGTATTTCATTGTATAATTGCTTGAGACGATTTAACATTTATTGAAAAAGCTGTTTTGATAAAACATTGAAGTTGAAAATTTTCTAGATTTTAAATCATTTTTTGGGTTCGAATAATTTGTGTTGATATTTTAAGATTTTTACATTTTTAGTAGCTAGGAAATTTGGAGAAAAATTTGTTTAAAATGACTAACATTGGAAGTCATTTTACTTGGTAAACAGTTTTTAATATTTTTCATTCCTTCTCATGTTATTGTGTGTTTTAAGGCATGTTTTATTGCATGTTTTTTTGATACTGTTTGTCTGAGTCAAGATAAAGAGCTGGGAGTTTTGTTGATGACCAAATGTTTTGCAGGAGAAAAGAAAGAAGAAGAATAAGAAGATAAAATGATGAAAACACTTTTTGAAACCTTTTTATCATCATGGTTTTTGGTGTGTTTCATATGGTTTCTTTCTCACAGGCTTCAATCAGAACCTTTAGTCTATGATATAACTTACACTCCAGTTTCACTCCTACCTTTGCTTTCTTGATATTTTTGTCTCTCTCTCTCTACTCAACCTTTTCACCAACTTGCAAGACTGATTCAAATACTTAACCATTTCAGGTTAGCATTTATAGTTGCAAGGTTGAGTGTTTCAAAAATGCTGTACAATAAATGGTTAAACATTAATAGCAGTTTTGTTCAACCTTTTAAAATGCTTTTCAACACAACAAATTCAAAGCAACTTTGTGTTCATTTTAGACGAGAAATGTTTGCTTAAGTTGATTCACTTTTACCTGTTAATGTCAATGTTAATGAGACAATTTTCAAGATGCTTTTCCTCTTCAACATAAAAGATGCCAAAAATGGGTCCAAAAAAGGCAGGCAAAGGACAATATGTTAACCATGAAAATGATGAAAGTGGATGAAATGAAGACGAGTAAATAGTGATGAGTGGGTGAAGACAGTCTAACAATATCTTTTTCATGTGAAGAGCCTTTTTATTTTGTAATCATCTTTTACTTCACACTGATTAAACATGTTAATGTTTATATCAATTGTAACAATTTGCTCATGTTAACCCAATCATTTTATCATGTTCACATTGGAACAGCAGGAAAAACTGGTGAATAATGAACACATTAAAAACACTGTCAATCTCTCGAGTTAAACGTTAACCTAATTTAATATTCATTGCCATTAATAGTAATAAAATGTAATTGAAATACAGTTAAAGTGAATAGAGTCGTGAAAACATTGACTTTACATACAAACCTTACAATTAATAACATTTTAGTGACCACAAAATGGCAATCACTTAACATTACAATGAAGAGTTGGGTTGAGATTTTGTTTTCAATCTTTTTCTGCTTTCTAAATCATTTTGAGTTTCATTTTGTTAATAACCTTTTCAACATTTGATAATCCTGATTTGATTGTATTCAACTTGAAATTAAATGATGAATGATGAGGAAAAGGATTGTAAAGATGACTTAAGTATTGATAAATTTAAATTTTATGCTTAGGTTAGACAATAATTTGAAGATAAGTACAAAAATTGAAACAGTTTTTTTAATATGAAAACTGCTTTAACCAGCAAACTTTGTCTATTGAATGGATTAAGTTGGATATTTTAATGATCACAACTTTATCATCAGTTAATAACAATCATTATTATTTATTCATTTGAAGCGTGAATTCAATTGAAATAAATTTATACATTTCTTTCATTTTGGAGAAACATCGTCTAAATGATTTTCATCAGGTAAAGTCGAGTGCTATTGATAGCTTTATTTTGCCCAATATCATTGTTAATGATTGTTTAATTTTAATCTTTCAAAATGAATTGATTTTTTTGGCTGGCAATTAGTTAACATTGATTGACTTTAAACTTGTTGCTCTTTTCAAATATTTCATTCATTTAACTGATTGTTTCTCACAGATCAATTATGATAATTTGTTTGAATCAATGATATTGAGTTTTGACTCTTGTTAGATTTAACCTTTTCACAGCTTGTTATTTAATACAATTGATTCATTGATTTTTGTTTTAAGGCGCAACAAATTAATGGTTGGATATTTCACTTTCATTTATTCATTGGCAATTGGCAACAATAAAGAGTGACAATTCAATAGTTAATAATGATAATAACTATAGTAATCAGGTGAAATGTTGATATGAATTTCATTGGAATGAGAGAAAAAGAAATACATTTTAATACCTTTTTGAAGGTGTTACTGGTTATTATTGTTAATGTTGCTTTAACTTACCAATGATTAACTGGTTTTGGTTCAATATATTGATCACAATTGATTAAATAGTGAATCAATTTCATTGCTATTTTTTTATAAAATTGTATTGTTATTTGATTCATAGTGTGCAATTGGGTCAAAAAGAGTTGAAAGGAAACATTATTATAAATATCAAGAAAACAATCAGAATGAGATTGAATATGATGAGTTATAAAGGAGAAAGATTCTGAAAAAATATCAGGAAAAGGTTGAGTTTTTACAGGAATCTAACATGAAGAAGAAGAAGTCATCTTCATGATTGAATATGTTGATTAATAATCAACTTTGGTTGACTGTGATTAAATCATCATTAACTTGACGACCCATAATCTTGATTATTGTTTGTTTCTCTTTTCCCTTTGCATCACAATTAATTGGTTTCATTTTGGACTTCGTTTCATGACATAATTAATTACCGATTCAATGTTGATTTCTCCATTTCTTTTGTTCAGTTTAAGACCAATCTGCGAATGAATGAAAAAAAGAAGTTATTATTGACTTTGATAGACAACAAACCGTTTTCAATTTGGTTCTGGTTACATTATTGATTAACGCAAGGTTAACATAGGTTTTAATTGAACGATGAATGGTTAATTAGTTGATTGTGATCATTAATGAATTTATCTTTTTGTTGACTTTTTTATGATTCATAAACGATTTCCATGATTGTTCCAATGTTTCCCAGTTAGACAATCAAGTGTATAGATTTGATTTCATCTTTCAATTGGTCCATTGGTAAAGGGTTTCCAGAGTGTTCAAAATTAAGATATCGGAAACCTATATCATTGGATTAATGATGATTAAGGAAATCAGGAAGAGGGTGAGAAAAAGGAAGGAACTATTAGCAGTTGATTGTTTTTTCATCGTTTAAAGTTAAATAATATATAAGGTCAAGATTAAGTGATAGATTGTAGGTTGTTATTAATGTGGTTTGTGTGATGTGAAGTTGTTCAAATAAACAAGGTCGAAGTAAAGTTTAAATTTACTTTTCACTTTACCGCGATTAGTGGAATTCAGGTTTATCATGTTGACAGTCATGGCTATTGTGAGCAATTTTCCAGTTTTCACTCTGCTTTTTTGCCGTGCAATGAAATATCACCATTGGTAAAAGATATTTTGGCCTTTTGTTCCTCTTCTCGGTGTCAAGTGCCTTTTTGTCAACTCTAAATTTTGATACTTTTGCTTTTCTCCTTTATGATTTGATTCTCATCTTTTTTCGCCTTTTTTTCGTTATAAATGTTGATGTTTGTGTTGGTTTGCCTTTCAATTTCCTCGAATTAAGGTCTGAAAGAAATGATGAAAAAGAAAAGAAAAAGTTATATAGAGGGAGAAAAAAGACGTTAATGAAGAAAAAGATGGGAAGATGATGATGAGGGAGGAAAAAGAGGAGGAAAATGGTATAAAGAAAAGGTCTATGTTTGGTTTATAAGACTCATTTAGATTGAGAATCTTGATTGATTTTAAAAGTTGAAATTGAATGAAATGAGTGAGAAAAATAATCGGTATAATTCTGTTCATTACATTCTTTTTCTTCTTCTTTTGATTTCTTTCTACTTTTTTGTCTACTCTGTTTTTTTTTTGCTCTCCTTAGTTTCATCATCCTTCTTTTTTCTGTACTCATCATTGTCTTCTTCCAAGTTACGAGTTAACAGAATTAACGGTAAATATCAAACCCAGATTTGAACCAAGGTCAGATACTGATGATAATGATGATGGTGATGATGATGAGAATAGTGGAGTGATGAGCGTTTACCGTCACTTTGTTTAACCTTTTCCCAATGTTGTTGTTACTGTTGAATAGAAATAATGAAGAGAAGAGAAAAAAATAACCTCGTTAATGTTGAACGACAAACTGTGGTAGAGTTAAAATAAAAAAAAAGTGAAAGAAATGAAAAGATTTTGTTTGGTTGTTGATTGTATTTGAGTGAGAAGGATGATGATTACGGTGATGTTTTTTAAAGAAAGATGCAAAGAGAAGATTGAAGGAAGATTGGAAGAGCGTAAGAGTGAGTAAATTTGATGATCTAGGAAATGAAAGTATCTAAATTGTGTACTATTTATCACATTACGCATCACTTTTTTTATATAAAAGAAATAAACACAGACAAACACAGAAAATAACAGTGAGAAAGAGATGAAGAGACAATTGTAAAGACTTGTTATAAACACTTGAAGATGATGATGATGAAGGAAGGAAGAGAGTAAGAAAATGATGAGGATGACAAGTCATCTTGTAGATGTAGTAAAGCAATCACAAAACAGTGTAACACATTCACATAACTTATTAAGAGACTCGCTGTTTATTACTTTCTCCTTTGCTTTTCCAGTCGCCTTTTTTTCACTTTGAAAATGTTTTATTTCTCTTCTTCTTTTTTCTCCAAGTGTTTCTTTTTCCCTTTCCTTCGCTTTTGTGTGTTTGAAGGATTTTTTCTTTAAAACGCAGCAATGATGATCACCATGATGAGCATTGATGATAATGATGCTGCAAGAGAGTAAATCCAAGTCGATTAAGATAATCTTACAAGATATTAGAGGAGCAATCGGAAAACTTCAATTTGACAAACATTTATTTCACCTTTGAAAAAAAATAAATAAAGATATAAAAAGTTAGTAAAAAAATATAATAAATTGTTGTCACACTGAGAAAGATGATGAATAAGAGTAAAGAGAGAGAGTTATTCCTCTTTATCATTGCCAGTAATTTCGATTGAAATACTATTTCTACTGATTTGGCCAATTTAATTTCAAACATGCTCGGCTTTCCTAAACTAACTCATGAAAACACATTTAGCCAGTTTATTTTTTTTCCCTTTACTTTCATCTTTTTTCATGTGTCTCAGTTTTCGTTGGCTTCTCTCTCAACACTTGTCATCATAATCATCCTTTACTGCATCATCTTAATCAGATTCTACTCAACTTGACAGAGGAAAAAAATACTCACCTTCATCTGCATCCAAGTCAAGGTGTTACAAAGTTTCCAACGATGTTTATATTCACATTTTTTTGTAACAAAGTTTCCCATCTTGTCTCTTTATCTCGAAGTCTCTCATTTACCTACATTCAGAAAGTTACAAAGTTTTCAATAAATTTGTCTCTTTGAAGAAAATTTTTAACTGTTAATTGGCGAAGCTAAAACTATTAATAGAGTGACGATGAAACTATGTTTCTCTCAATTTAGTCAATCTTTTTGAATTAACAAATGAACTGGAAAGTTTCTCATGTTGTTAGTGGAAACATTTTTGTCTTTTGTTTTTTACAATTTTTAGATTCTTACTTCATTCCTCTGGATAATTCATGCTGCAGCGACAATGCTGCAAGATTTGCTTCTAGTCAATCGTTAATGTTGTTAAAAGAATGCCAACCATCTCTTTAAAGTGTTAAGAACGAATTTCAATGCTTAGTTGATGAAAGCTGAACAGTAAGCATTTTTTGTTGGAAATCTTCATTTCCAAAAAATTATCAGCATCCTCAGAATATCCTAAACAGCTCTTTGGTTTGGTTTTTGCGGTTTCAGTGGATAATGAATTTTTTTAATGTGTGAATATTTGATGCATGATTCCAGTGTAAAGATCACGACTATTATCTGAAATTAAAACAAAAGATAAAACTAGTTTAGTAATTGAGAAAAAAATACATTAAGGTACATAAAAAGTGGAAAATTGAGAAAAATCGATAAAATTCAATTTAATTATCCTATTTTGCACGAATTGGTTGTTATTTTCTTATTCCTAGTCAATTCGTTGACGTTCACAAATTTTAGTTACTTTCCATTGTTTCATCTTCTCAATTTCTGTTCTCATTGTTGAGAATTGCACTTTTTTTTCTTCATACGAACCGGAAGGAAATCTCACAGATACTGATTGAAAGGTATCCTTGTCTTATAAATGCTTGTCTAAGCGGTTGATGTAACTATTGTTGGTGTAGGTTAAAGCTGTAAAAGGATTGCCAGATCGGAAGCTGTGTACGAGTTAAGATGGATTAGTGTAGAGTGTTTTACATGTTTTTGTTATGCGTTATATCCAAATTAAGGTCAGTAATGAAGATAAATAGCGGAAATGAGGGAGATTCTATCCCATCAACAGAATTGACTTGACTTCGATTGGTCAATATTGAAGTCTGACCTTCTATTCTTTCACTTTCTTTTGTTTCCCCTTTATTTCTTTCTTATTTCTTGAGCTGAATCTTCTTCCCAACCATTGGTCTCATCCTTCAATTTTCCATTAACTTTTACATTGTGAACAAAATAAAAGGCTTGATTGTAACTTAGCTTGCAAATAAAGTGAACCAAACCAATCAACTAGTGATGAATCGACTTTTCAGGCTTGCAGATCACTTGGTAATCGACATACGACATGATTAAGAAGAAAAGACATGAAGGAAGCTGAGGAAAGGAGAAAAAAAAGAAATAAAAAGAAACCTTTTTAGTCCTCAGAAAACTCATTGAGCTTACAATCTTTTGTTTTAAATGCAATTAGATACTGAATAGTTCGAAGAGGGTTAATAAAAATGGAGTTTAGTTGATTAGAAATAGAGAAAGTGAAGGAAGAAGAGGAAATATCCTCATAATATCGAAACTGTGAATTAGTGGTGAATTACAAGATTGTAAGTAGATTAGTCCAAACAAAATATACTCACATCAATCTCAATTGTTTTGGGTACAATTAAAATTTACAATGTTGACCTGGAAGACAAGGAAATTCTGCTGTTTTCATAATCATTATCATCATTAAGATTTGTTACAAAACAGGCAATATCAACAAAAATCTATATCCTTTTGTTGCTGTACACTTTTGATTTTCACAGAAGTGAGGGAAAAAAAAGAGAAGAAGAGTTTAAATTACAATTTAACAGAAGATAGAAATACTTTAATACAGAAAATAAACCAAACAGTTAAACAGAAAGGGTTAACAAATTGAGATGTAAAAAATAATGACAAATCATTAGGAAAATTAACGGAAATTTTTGTAACATTAGCATTAGTTAATTGAGCATAAGTTGAACAAAAACGTTTATCACATGATGTTAAGTTAACGGCTTTTAGTGTGAATAGCCTTGATAAGTCTATTCTCACTACTATTCTCACTATCGTTTGAGAAGCAAAGTTTATTTAGTAAAGCTTTTAATATCAATTTATTTTGCTAATTTTCTTGTATTTCGGCAGTTTATTGAATAATATTCGTGTTTAATTTGAATACAGCTTTTTCTCTGAATTACCTTTCATTATTCTTGTTGCATTTATAACTGTGAAAAGTGTGTTGAACCTTTTGGACATGTTTTATTTCTATTCGTTGACAATGTTTTTGTATATTTACTGTGAACACAATAGTATGATTTAACAATTTAGTGCCTTGCCAATCATGATGGTCATTCAATCATCCGAAAGCCAAAGGGAAACTCGATTGTTGCCAGCAAGGAATAATTGATGAACCTGTTATTTCTTTTTGATTACATTGTAATGTAAAGTTACCAGAAACGTATTGTTACCACAACCATCCCTCTAGTACACACAAATAATACAAGGAGAAGAAGAAAAAACAAGGCAAAAGAAAAGGAGAAAACAATTTACTGCTATTAGCCTTGAAAGAAAATAACTTTTACTCACTAAATTTCATCCTCGTTTGGATTCTTGGTTGTTTACATGAATAGGAGAGAAATGTTACTCATGGAAAGATCATGCTACCTCTTCATTTGGTTTACTCCTCTATTTGAATTGACTCGGAAACAGCAAACGAAAGGTGAAATAATAACCTGAATGTAAACTTGGTTTTCTCGCCATCTATTTAAAGCAATTTGATGATGGAAAATGATAATTACAATTATTACCTCTATCAAAGTGTGAATTTGCCCTGCCATGCTATCCTCGTACTGCAATACTCACACATTTTTTGGAAAGCAAAAAATGAATGGAACAGTCAACACACAACAACACCTACACTGTAGATCGAGGAAAGAGAGAGAACCTGGCAATATGTTACTCTACCTTCCTCTCACACTTTATACCTTTCACTCCTACTTTCCGGTAGGCATGTGTCTCCATAGTTACCTGAGAGTTTCAAACAAACAATTCTGACGCTCCATTCTCGCTGGGAAAGCATACATTTTGTTTAAGCAAATAAAAAGACTGGATGGCAAGACTACTCTGTACGGCATCAGCTCTTCACATCTATCAAGCTTACAAAAAAGAGAGTACAAAAAGTATGGAGAGCTTAAAAAAAGTGTATCAAGAAGAAACTCGAAAGAGAAAGCCTGTGAATAAAACAAATTGATGAAGTCTATGGTTAAAAACAGAGGAGGAGACGGAGTTGGAGGCTGTTCGTGAATGTACTAAAAACAAGCATTGACATTATAAACAGTATATCTAGAGTCAACCTCTTGTTTTGACTCAACCATCTACCTTGTTCAGTGACTCTTCTTCACATTTTTCATCACAACACTCTTTTCTCACTCTATTACTCGTCTTTCTTTTGATTTTATTTTGCTTTTTTTTCTTTTCGTCTCTTTCTTTTCTCTTTATTGATAGTTTACTCTTGAAGAAGCAAGAAATGGCCATTAGTGTACAAAAACCTAAAGAAAGTCAAAACTGAATTTCTTATTTGAAGAAAGGTTGCCAGTTTAACCAACTCGCAGGGAAAACATTTAGTCCAAGTTGTTACTTAAGAATCCATGATAACCACTGGCAAGATGAAATGAAGAAGGAGAGATGAAAAAAAGTTTCATTGGAATCAAGACTCTTGTGCTGTATTTCATGTTTACGCCTTTATTCTTAAAGTTTCATGAGCTTTATTGTAGGTTGTTACTCACTAGCTATCATCAAACTTCAAACAAAAGGATTTTAAGGAAAACACAATAGGAAGAGATGATGGAAAACAAAAATGCAAAAAAGTTCCACAAAAAAAAAGATTCTTCTTGGTGAACAAACAAAATTGATGGATAAAATTGTAATATTTGATAATGCCTGCAAATGATAAAGTTTTCAGCTAACCAACAAGGTTAACGAACTTGACATGGTTTCTCTAAAAGTTATTATCAGTTAAATTGAATTGAATGCAAGCTCTCATCAATTAAGATGATTAATGCATCTACCAGGCAAAAGATATTATTTATTGGTTTAAAATATATTCTGACGACTCTACCGGTGGCTGAAAAGATGTTATCATGGAAATGGGCAAATCCAGAATAAGCCAATTGACTCGATCCAATTTATCGCAACTCGCTGCATAAATTTTAAATTGTGACCATTTAGTATTTGCATGATTACCTCACCAGATATAAGTCGAAAGAAAAGAGCAACTAGGAAACGTTATTTTCATTGTTAAACTCAACCAGTTCAACTATAATTATTGATTGAACCCTCATCATTTTCCAATTAATTTCACCCTTAACCATACGGGACTCGATATTTCATCTCAACTTCATCCAAAGATTTCTCTCTCTCTTTGTCATCCTCTCAGTCATCATAAAGTAAAGGCAAAAGACAATGAAGAGTGGAAAAGTAAAGTTCATCATCATTTTCAATTTAATCATGTAGGACTACTCAATCAAGATTTTCAATCTGGCCGACTTTGCCATAGAAATACATTGACCCAACAATAATTAAGACGATACGATGTTAACCAATCCATCTAATTAGATTAGCATATTTTAATCTTCACTCAGAAAGTCAAGCTGTTTTAATTTAACACTTAAATCATGAATAATACTGGATTAATGGCTGACTATGTATCAATATTAATCCAATATAATCAATTATGAGACCAGCTGATAGACAATCTTTGACTTTACCGTTTCCATCATCTATGATTGAAAGCACTTATTTCATGTCACTTTACCATATTGATCAATTGTTCAATTGACAAATTGTTAAGATTAATAGTTATTTGATCATCGATTAAGATAAATTAAATTTTAAAACCAGCTACTTTGTTGACTTCAATAGCAACAATATTGGTTCAACAAACCATTGAACAATCAAAAGAATTGGAAACAATGAGAATAGCGTTAAAAGAGAGTCAAATAGTAAAAGGAAAATGTTCAATCTTTGAACAAGTTGAATCTCAAAGGAGGAAGAAAAAAAAGATCAGATTATTTCTCATGTCAACCTAATCCTGAATCATTCTAGAATCATTTCATGATTTCAAGTGTAACCACAGAATCAAGCAACAAAAAAGTATCACTTTTAATCTGCTTCATTGTAAAATATCCAATCCAATTGAGATGAAATTGATCCAATAATTAAACATTCATTATGTGTACAAAACATGAAAACAATTAGATTCAGCAATGTTAAACTTGATCAACAATTGGCTTCTAGATGCTTGATAATCATGATTGTGTTGATGTATAAATAGCAAAACATCAATCTGATGTTTGATGGTTAAAGTTGAAAACAAAAGGCAAAGACGATTAGTAAGTGACTTGTTAATAAACTGTAAAAAAAAGTTGACCACTGAATTGATAGATGAAATGATCATTCATCCTGATCTTGATCATCTTTCAACCCAATGGTAATTTATCAATGTAACACCATCCAAAGAATCAATCTTTTTCTCTCTTCTTTTTACTGAACAATTCCTTCTCCTCTCTACCATCAATTCAATGAATTGTACTTTTCTTTCTCAATCATGTTTCACGATCAAATCAAGGTTTCACTTGCAAATGTGATGATGATGAAGATTGAATCTCTTAATCAATTCGCATAACCGTCATTTAATCTTGATCCTCTTTTAATACAACCAAAGGTATCATTGTTGTTATTGCAGAGCCATTTAACTCTTCAAATGAAATGCTAAATCAACAAAATTGTCAATCAGAATGGGACAAAAATGATAATAATGAACAACAACAACAACATCATCATTAAAGGTTAATATTAGATTGACAATGGCAGAGTTTTGACGAGCAAGAGGATAAAGAGAAGAGGAAATAAACGAATGATTCAATTTGAATTTGATTCAAGTCTCATTATTTTTTCATCCTTTATTCAAATTATCCTGATGAGAGCAATGATGACAGTGTTTATGATCATCATCATGATCATGATGATAAATAAAAATAAGATTTCACAGTTTTTCCTTGAAATTTTATAAAAGCAAAATTGAAAAAAAAGAAAAGGTTTCTTCGTCTAAAATTGATGAGATTTAGGCCTTTTTTTTGGGAAGCTCAAAAAAATGAGTTGAATTGACAATGAATTGTATGTTTCACTTTTCCCTGTTTTTTCTTCATGATTATTTTATATTATTATTATGATAGTTACAGTGTTATTCATTACAGTCTTTTCACACTTATTTTGACAAAAAAAACAGCGCCGTCTATTATATTGCCAATAGTAAGACGAAAGTACTAAGCTAGCACTGTTGATGCTAGGGCTAGAGTTTCGATACCAATAGATGGCTCTGATTTTTTTGTCAAAATAAGTGTGAAAAGACTGTAGATGAAGGATAAAATAATATAAAGTTTGTACATCAAGGCAATTTAATGGCTTAATGAGGTGTGAAACAGGCAAGTCAACTGTTTCCTTTTTTTCTCAGATTATGGTGGATGAAGATGGCTGAAGATGGTGAAAAAGAGAGTCAGAAAAAGATGTGTCAAGGAAAGGGTTAGAATAGGTTTTTAAGTTGATGATGATGAGGATAAAATTGATATTTTCAATGCGTGTTTATTGTCAGTCTTTTTTTTCCTCGTCTCTTAAGTGTAACACTTATTGTCTAAGACAATATCATTTATTGATAAACATTGATGACTGTAATTGTGCTTTTCAGATCAATTCATGTTCATCATGGAATAATATTCTTGTTGTTTTATCCTTTTCATCATCATTATCATCATCCAGTGATGTGAACAAAAATGAAAACAGTTCAACAGTGAATGTATAACTTGTGATAATTGTTGTTTAAATGGCACTAAATGTGTTTAGCTTTTTTTGTATTCATTTCTGTTTGTCTTGTAATTATCA